GTGGGAGCTTAGCCTTTCGAAATGGGCATCGATCGTGCCGACCATCCATACGGTTATGCTGCCATATCCAGCCAATAACTAGCTTCCCTGAAACGGAGATAATCGCGCGTCGAATCGAGAGACCGCGATTCCTCCTCCGCCTTTCAGCCGCTTTCACGTCCTGCGTGAATGTGAAACGTTTGCCAAACATTGAAAACGCGCCGGAACGTTTCCTATCGTTCGCTTCGATTCGTACTTAGTAGCTATCGAAGAAACGTCGTCGCGACCGAACTCGATCGACAAGCTCGATTCCAGATTGACGAGCCCGGAGCTTGGAACTCGACGTCATTTTCGAGAAACGAGAGCCCGCCAGGCTTCTCTCGCAGTCACCGGTGTCGCGGCTGATCCTGGAGAACTGATAAGTACCTGCTCCAGGCGAACGGTAGATTTATTGCCGAGTTTGTCGGTTAACCTCTCGCTGCCACCCTTCCACTCTGGTTCTATCTTTACCCTCTCGCCCTTTTCACCTCTCTCTCTCTCTCTCCCCCTCTCTTTCTGCTTCCCCCTTTCGTTTTCTTAGTACGGTTCTTGCCCTCGTCTTGTTCCGCGACCGAGAACGATTCATACATCCCCCCTCTCTCCTGCTTCCACCGACCGAAACTCGACTTCCGTTTTATTGGCGGAAATAATCTTTGATGTGATTGCGCTTTGCCGTGGAACTTCTTTTCTCCGGCCACGACGGCAACCAACCAAGCCGATATCGATTCGCGATACGCGAACAGCCCACCACCAGCGCTCTCGCCCCCCCCCCTCCTCTCCCGCGTATTCGCGATAACGCGTTTTTTTTTCTTCTCTCGATCTCTCTTTCGAGCCGGGACTCGTTACATATTAATACGATTCGTATTAGCATAACGTCGAACAATATCGGCTGGGTGAAAAAAGGAACGATGGAACGATGTATATAAGAAGCTACGGAGAGTTTTCAAGAGCCGGGAGTTGAAATATCGCGATGATTTCTTCCCGTGGAAATAAAGAGCGGCACGCTGCAATTGTTCGATAAGACGAGGCTTTGCCAGGCGTTCGAACGATGACGAGGGACGCGGAACGTCTCGCAACAGAAATATCATGGCAGTTTCTACCCAGCCGATATTCAAACCCTTCGAAGCAACAAAGCCGCCTTCCTAAAAGGTATCAACGGCCCATCGTTGTCTTAATTTCCTTTGTAATCTACGTTATTAATATAGCTTAGGGACGGCGGCGCGTAATTTCACGCCGCATAGAAATTAATAGAAAGACGAATGTTCCCTCCGCGCGCTTTACACTCGGACGGAATATTCAAATGAACCGACTGAATTTCTATCTTTCGTTTGTGAAAATTTTCGTCCTTCGTACATTCCCTCGGCAATAATAAAGGAATTTTCCTTTCGTTGGGGGAGGAGGTGAGAGTAACCCGAGAGTCAGCCTGTTAATTTAAAAAACAAAAAAGTCCGACTCCATTCGGAGTCTTGAGCCCATCGGTTCGACGTCGATGGGACGCGTGACATGACATAGAGCCCGTGAACATTTCCATGTCAGCGTGCAGCGTACGGTCGGACAATGAGTCGCGCGGATTCGAGACGTCGCGTTGTGTATTATCGAGTGGCATTCCGACGCGTCTCTGCAACGACATTTAGATAGCGACGTCAACTGTCTACGGGGGGGTAAATCTGTCTTGGAAGCAAAGGCAGCGCACTTCCCCCAAGCGGCACGGCGCGGCGACCAGCCCTCGCTACCGAACCGAGCGAATTCACTTCTGATCGAATTAGCGCGTCACAGTTCCCTGATACCCCGACAGTCTGAATTAATTAACAGGAGAACGCACTAGGTAAGCAGCCATTATCGAAATAAAGCGGCCAGATATGAGCTGGCGTAACGAGAGATGAACCTGAAGGACCCGATGAGTCGTCAATTTTCCCGTATCGTGTATAAATTAACGGGCTCTTCTGAAAGACGAAAGGGAATATTTTGTCACGTATGCCTCAATTAGAGCGTGACAAAATATTTTATACGTAGCGTAGAGAGAACGCTTTCAAAACGCGTGACCATCCAAAATTCTGGATGTATAATACACTCACTGTCTAATTGTCGTTTGCTTATTAATACTGTAATAAATATCTTCGCACTGTGAAAATTCCTCCTCTGTTATAATAAAAATGCAACCGCTGTTTAAGGAACGAAATCCTCGCTGTTTCTCAAACAGACAAGACTGACTAACGTCATATCGGGCGAAGGAACAGCGTCTTAACTCCATTAACTTCACACTTAGCAGCACCTTAGAAACCCTGGTGTCGGCGGAAGATCTGATTAGGGGTTCGAGTCTCTGCTAAACGCGTTAGTCTCGACTGTAGAACGCGGGGAGGTGGGGTGGGGTTGGAGTGTACAGCTCCATCAGGTGCTAGAACGGTAGCTCTGCGAAAAGCCGTGTCGAGATGGGGACGTTTGGGGGCGGAGGCGGTTGTCTCTCCATAGTTTGATGCAAATTGAGTAGGAGCGCCGGCAACTACCAAGAATATAGACGCTTTCCCCGGCTCTTCTCTCTCGCGCGTAGGGATTCCGCGATCAAGTACAAAATTTATTCCCTGCAACCACCTCCTCGCCAACGTTGCACCACCACCTTCCACCCTACCGAGTCTCTGGCCTTGACTACCGCCGAAGTGTTGCCGTTTGGGGTTTCTCACCCCACTGCAGTACACTGCTTCGACAACTCGCTCTGTTTGCCGACGAATGTCGTGGGCTTCCTCTCCTTTCGACTTGACAACGTTCGAAGTCACCGGTTGCCAGACAACCCCTTTGCCATCGCCCTCGTTTTCCGGTTTCTTCCCTATACGTTAATAACAGCTATGGCAAAAAAAAAAAAAACTGTCGAAATTGTCGAAATTGTACAACGCTTGCTGGTTATTTCCAAATATATAGGAACTCGCACTGAAGCTGAAACTTTTTCCCCGAACGCGACGTTGTCGCGAACGTTTCGGCGCCATTTAACGTCACTAATGCCTGAAGCGTTTAAGCGTTGCATCGACGCGACGCGCAATCTATGTCGCGTATCTAGTCAGAAAATCACAACACCATTATGCCACGATCTCGTTGCTTCCATCCCGCTTCCTCTCTGCCGTGTACCACTCGTCCTCTCGCTCTAATGTTCCCTTTTTATGGCGCACGATTCGAGACTGCCCCCGGGATCGATTTTACTTCGTACCATGGCACTTATCGTACCCCGTTATGGTGGAGCATTGCTTTTTATGGCGGTCCATGCTAGATGTTCCGATCGCTCTTCGGTTCTCTCTCGCTATTTTCTTTCTGTTGCGTAACCCTCCGTCTCTCTGCCACTCGCGATCTTCTGTCCGTCTCTCCTCTCCGACACCGTTCCGCAGACGCGGAATTAAAAGAATGGAAAATCGAAAGGCAATCATCGTTCGCGACGCCGGTTACCGAACAGTTGCCAACAGATGCTATCTCAATTCGTTTTTGATGACGCTGAATCATCCCCTCCGTAGGATCGATCGATCGCCTTGCGCATCGAAAAGCACTCTACGTTTCTTTCGAACTGAACGCGAATTAAGGATCCGCGCTGACTCTGTCGTCAGTTCACGAGGTATTATTATTATATTTAATATTAGGAAAGCCTTGGCTCACGTCATCGAGCTCGAGGATATTTCGCCTCAGAGGCAACGCATAAAATACACATACGCATTTTGCTACTTACTATTTGGTACTAACGTTTGCGATTGCTGACCCGGCTCGTTTCAAAATGCTGCAAATGCTCTGCGTATTCGTGCAGGTGGCCCGGGGAGGTGCTGAAAAAAATCACGTCTGCATTTACATAAGCGCCGGCATAAACCACTCGACAGAAATCCCGACATAAAACTCAAACAGGATCGCAGCACATCCGTTGAATACGCAATGTCCGTATGTACGCAATGTACACTGTCCCTTCCCCTCTCCCCCACACCTTCAAAAAAATGCTTTTATTATTCACCGCTGAATTACGATACTAAGATACACCCCCTACGTTTACACCTACGCGATGCGTCTGTACGTCCTGTGTGTATAGTCTTCAAACTTTGAGCTTTCGATGAGAATCGAATGGAAATAACATTCGGTAGAAAAATATTGTCAGATACTAAGTTACAACTATGATATTCTTCCATATTCTTGCCTCGAGCATTGAAATGCAAAGACACGAGCGAAATAACTCGATTGTGTTACGTAACTGTACAAGTTTCGCATTCGAGATTAAACAAATGAATTTTGCAAGTGAAATTCATCTTTTCACAGATCAAATTCACCCTTTTGAAAATCAAGTTTTTCTACGAATTTTTCTTCTCGAATTATTGCAATAAAAATTCAATCGAATTCAATGTAAAGATATTATTCCGAAATAAAGATTTTATTACATGTATGTGATAATATTTAAATATACTTATTTAACACTAAAATTATTTATAGATACATATGTAGATTTATCAATAATAATTCGCCTGCCGCTGTGCCGGACAATTATAAATATTCATTAAATAATTATGACAAACTGCAGCAGTGATAGTTGCAACAGAATAATTAATAACATCCACCAAATGTTCATGGTCCGAAGAATCAGTCAAACTATTTCAGAGTGTAATTTTTGAAAAAAAAAACTTCTTCAATAGAATGTATTACTTCACTTTTGAGTCGCCCACAAGATGAATTTGATTTGCAAAAGGATTTACAGTGCAGAGAGGTGAATATGACCGGCAAAATGGTTGATTTGGAATGCAAAACTTGTACAAAGATATAGAATTATTAGACAGCAGGAACCAAAGCTCGAAATTCATCGTAACACTGAAACAGTATATTTCACAATTACTCGTTATATAGTCGCGCGACAAAGAGTAAAATGAAATAATGAGAACGACAGTTTTATCCTTGGAAGACAAATCGCGGGAACTGCGGTTCGTCATCAACTGTCGGTCGATACGAAGTACGTATATAACACTTTGAGAGCGATGTTCACGGCACCTGACGAGAATATCAAGCCGTCGCGGTATCCTGACAAAACGATTTTCGAGTCCCTCGTGGATCCAGCGAGGATCTATTGTGCCTGCTGGAAGCACCAGCCCGCCCCTCGTGTGATCCTCGTTTTCCAAGGTTCTTTAGCATTTCCGGCGTATCGTCCTTTATGCGGACATCGAGAATCCGGCGCCCCGTTTCTCTCGCGCGGTTACGGAAAAAATTGACTTTTAAGCCGGCAATAAAACGGAAAAATGCGAAATCTTTGATTTTAGTGGCGGCTCTTCCACGCGTCCCCTTTGCCGCCCGCTCGGGCGACAGTTGGTCGATGCGTACAACCCTCGCGGGCAACCTTATTTCTCTTATATCGCAAGCCAAGCACGTTCGTACTTCGCCACCGTTTCGAAATCTGCGTTTCCATGTATATACATGTCCGTACAGCGCGTAGGATCTGTGGAAAATACCGTGGATTTCATTCGTTGAATTTTAAAGCACAATTACTCCGTGATACTGCCCTTTGTCAGAACGCTGTCGAATTATAAAATATATACATATAGATGTTCGTGATTTATAAGAATCGCGGTATCGCGACGCGTTAGAAAAAGAAAGGAGAGAAACGCGGGAAGTTGGCAGGGAAGAGTTCTCGAGGAGACGCGTGAATACTATTGGCGGGTCGTTAGAAGAGATTTCGATTCCGGTGTTCAACGTCTGCGATGGGGAGACGCAGGAAAGAAGGTTAGAGCCCAGGGAAGGACTCGACGGTAATCCAGGTACGAACGTAGCGTCTGCGAATCGGGTGGAAATTTACATTTAAAGGACCTCGGAAGACACTCTCGGAAGAAGCTACCGGGTACCGGTGGCGTTTCGCCGCTTGTTTTTATTTTCTCGCAATTTCCTCGACGGAGCAGAACGGAAAACGATCTTAAAAGGAATTAGCACGCTTTACTACCCCGCCTATCTCCCCGACAACTCTTAGCACGGAATTTCCTCGGCAGCCTCTGCCACTTCCCAGCCTCGTCATACCGATACACAACTCTTACATTGCATTAATAAAACCAGTGTTCTGTGAAAGAAATTGAATTGAATTGAACTCTCTTTGTTCGCAGATTTTGCATAGGAGACAAGTTCTTCCTGTGTGAGAACAAAATCCTGTGCGAGAGCGACTACGAGGAGAGACTGGTTTTTGCAAACATGGCGGTACATCCGCCATCGACCGCGACGCTGGCGCACATCAAGAGACAAGTGATTCATCTTCAACCACAGGTAATGAAACTCGATGCTTTTGAAACGTTTCGGAACGCTTTTCGAAAAAACCACCACGGTCACGCGCCACGGTCGTCGATTACGCCTACGCTCCGCGATCTACATAATCCTCTGGGATACCGGTTGACATCCTTTGACAAGCGATACCGCTACAAACGCGTGCTCGATATTCCCGCGAATCCATCGCAAATACGTATGCTGACCGTGCAAGCGTATCGCTTTCCTGCGTGACAGTAGTCAGTAGTCTCTCTCTCTCTCTACCGGAGAGAATCCGTCAGAGAGAAGAGACTACGATCGTCGGATCTTCCTTCCGAAGGTTCAAAACTCCTTAAGACGTAACCCCTTAAGACCTTGGGTTAAAGTGGCAGGTCGCTCGTCCTGACCCTCTTGACAACAAAGGACTCCCCCGGGGGCTTCAGCTATGCTTTACCACCCCGCCATCATCTTACGAGTTAGGATATCGCGTGTCCTTATTAATTAAGCTCGTCCGTTAAGCAAGCCTCATCGCATACCGTAACGATCCGTCCTCTTCACCGGGACTGGAACGTGCGAAAGAATTTACTCTTTGAATAAGGATTCGCCGGCGCCTTAAGTGGAATTACCCGGCTGAAATGCGCGCATCTGTTAAAGAACGCCCCGTCGCGAGAAGTTTTTACGATCGAGCTGAGAATTATAAAGATGTTCGATCGACGGAACAGATTCCTCGCCGATCTCTTGTCATTGTCTATGTGTCTATATGATGATGAGAATATATGCCACGATAGCTACAAAGTGGAATTTCAAGTGCGTTGGCCGAGATGAAATTGCGAAGAAAAATCGATGGGACAGATTCTTCGGACAGATATCGTTCAAAATGCCTCTCGATAATCGTGGAGGACGACTTTACTCTACAAGTTGGAATTATAAACTCGTCGTCTCGGTTAAGCCGTTTGGGTTTCTTGATTATCTTAAGACAACAGCCGTGCTTCGAAACAATATCTTAAGCCCTCACCGCGGACCTTGCCCTGTCTGACCCAAGGAGGATCCGATCTACTTAATCCGACCTCCGTCTTGCAAGGATGTTTACGTCCCTTTGCATGCTGCCGTCACGTACCGTAATTTACCAAGTGCAATATTTACCGATCAACTACCGTCCAACTCGCTCTCACGTCTCATACGTGATTGATAAATATCTCAACAACGTTGCAACGACGTAATCTATTTACGTGTTTTGTGTAAGCGAAGCTGCCTATGATCTCATCGACTTTCTATAATACACTATCTAAAACCTGAAGATTTTAAGTCAGATCAATTCACCTACACCCAGATTAATCTACTTGCACATTCATAGCATTTCCATTTTCCATCAATATTCAAGACTTTTTAACGTCCAATCAACAAACATCAAAACTTGTTCTCTCAATTCCCTTCCTCAATCTTAGGAACACTTTACGAGAGTAAAGTGTTGACGAGCGTGAAAATTTGATCGAATGGAAATTAAAATTTCAGTTGCTCAGGCTTCTGCGAAATCTAGTATTAAGTAGCCCGGTATAATTATTCGGGCAGCGAAGTTTCGCGGCGAACGTGTCGAACAAGTCAGAGTACACCGATGTGAGAACGAAATCCTTCGAGATCGACGTTTCCCTCGGCCAATCGCTTCATTTTTAGCAAACCCCTCGTTTATAGAACGAACTATGCGATTCGCATAATTGCTGCAAAGTATCGTTAACGAAGTTTCGAGACAAACTTTTTAAGAATGGTCGAAGAGGCTAGACTGCCAGTGCACACGCTCGAAGTGTACGCATGCACAGAATAACGAGGTCCCCGGCTCCCGATGATATCAGACTCGGCAACGTGTACTACTTATAATATGTAAATTTTCTCCCCTTAACCGGTTCTGCCAGGGAGCTGCGTGTAATTCAGGGGTTGCTAACCCTTGCGACTCTATTTCTACACACCACGTAAGTGTTCATGTACTCCGCCGTGCTGCGTCCTTCGTTTCCGCCGCGCGTGAACACTCGCTCCTCGTGCGTGAGTGTTTAGTTCAATTAATATCAGTTTGCACGTACGGCTCGCCGCGAAGTCCGCGGTTGCGCTGGACAGGAAAAAACCAACCGACACGTTTGGTCGGCGAAACGAGGGCGAAGAGAAATCACGTGCGAAAGTAGAACCGGTCAACGATTGTTTCTCGCCTGCTGGAGAAGAAAGGAAGAAATATCGCGCGCTACGTTAGGACGCATAAATCGCGCTGCGATTCTTTTCCTTTTTCTTTTTTTTTTTTTCTTTTTTCTGCTTCGTTCTTGCGACACGCAACGATATCTGAAACGACTCCGGCGTCGCCAAGCGAACGTGCGAAACGTTGAAAAAGCGTCAGAGATGCAGAAATCGCGATCTCTCGCGTTTTTCACGATCCCGGAATGTCATCGATGGATTCGTGGTAATATCGATTTCGTCCGAGAGGGGGGGGGGGG